ATACACGCACCATTTTTCGAAGCGGGTTCAGTAAACAGATAATCATAATAAACTTCGAACTGATTATTGTGCCGCGACTTGTTTAGCTGACAGCTGAACTCAGATAGAGGCATTTATCACGATAGTCGACCAACTGACCCTAGGGTAAGTTTCGATAAGATGACAACAACTGTGTTGTAATCAAAGCAGCTGGAAATTTCTGGCTGATTTCCCACCTAAACATGCGAATAGAATTCAGGTTGAAAATGCAAGTGGTTTGGTCAAAATGTGGTCGTAAACAAAGGAAGAAACTCCGATGGACGAATCAGCCAATCCCGTCGGTTTGGCGTGAGGTCAAGTGATAAAAAACAAATCAGTTTTGGCTGTGGAATTATGTTATGTGACACAAAAAGGTTTGAGTCTTCATTTATGATTCAATGCTTCCGGTTCCTGAATTTCATAACCAAACAATAGTTCCTCGTAACTGTCAGGTGTACTTCTACTGTCCAGTGAAAAAAGTGAGAACGAAACACATTTTAAAATGAGTTCGCTTTGATTCTGTTGTCCATTTTCAGCTCGTCGATTGCTTATCCGGTCTCTTCGTGGATTGATGATTACTTTGACTGGATCGATCCCGAAGGATCACCGTATTGTTGTCGTGTCTATCCGGGCAGCACTAAGCATTGTCCGGACAGTGAACCAATTTCTGCCTGCGTGACGTGTCCAGTTGATTTGGAAGACGGGCGTCCAAATTCGGAAGACTTTAATAAATATCTGGGTTATTTCCTTGATCAAAATCCCAGTCCGAATTGTCCTAAGGCGTAAGTCACCCAACTGGTTCCCTAAGTAGACAATACTTATCTCTGCAGTAACTTCACTTATGGAGATCTTGTTTAATGTTTTTTTTAGTTAGAAGTCATTTATCGTATCTGATTGCGGTCCCGATAATTCAGTATCATTATCGTGACCGCTATTTTCTTATTGGCACAATGACAGACGGCGGCGGCCAGGTGATTAAAACCGTCTTCACGGTAAACCTTGAGGTATGTATGTATTCGAATCTTGTCATCCCCTGGGCTATCGTTTCGCAAGAATGTATTCCCTCAGGCCGCATCTAGTTGGTTACGGCCGCTTTCCTAAACATTGTTTATACATGTGCAAATTCAATAAATGAATACAACATAAGTACATCATGGTTGCTATTACAATTATCATTGATTTATTTGCTACAGATTTACGTGAAAAACAACAAAAAAGTCATGATCAGCGTTTCGTA